ATAAACATTATTCTTAACTTAATTTCAGCGGATATGATTTTTTAACTTGATTTGTTCTACATGTTATTTCTATGTCCTACGTGAAGTCCTACATGTATTATGTGATGTAGGATACGTATATCTACTTGTTTAATTTTATATAAATTTAAGTATCTATTTATACACATTCAAAGTTAGAGGACAGATGTCAAGCTGAAACTAAGTTAAAGGGCATAGTATTATGTTAATTATGATATGGTATTAAATTAGTGGCTTAAGTCATCGACAACCCTTTAAAGTTGTCTGCATAATTCACTTAGACACCTTAATTAAGACTAGTACCTATTGAACACTTTTACCTATTCAAAAATTGTTCCTATTAGACATTTTTTTATAATCAACAAAAAACATGAAGAGTGTGTGATACACTTGCGCTGACATGGCAAAGTGGCTAATTAAAAAATAACATGTGGCACTGGGGCCCCAAAATTACAGAAAAAATAATTTTTTTGTTTAAAATTATTTCAAACACATTTTCTATCTAATTTTTTTAAAAACAAATAAAAATGAAAAAAATTGAAAATGTCAACCTATTTTATCCAAGCCCACCCCTACCCAACCCCCTTTCATCTTCATCTTTTTCTCAAAACACGTTCTTTCTCCAATCACATAATCCAATTTCTTTTCAAATAACTTGAATACAACTTTTTGAAAAATATATATTTTCATACTAGATTCGTCATAGAGAAGGATTGATATAAGAGTGAAGAAGAAAGAAAATTTTATCGGCGATCATTTCGTCATCGATGACAAAAAGAAATTGATAGCTCAAAAATTAATTCTATCAAATTTTTGGATATTATTTTGATAAATTTAGTGAGTTTATATTTGAATTTTAGTAGTAATATTTGTTCGAAAATTGTGATAAACAAATATCGGCTAATTTTTTTATACATAAAAATCATTTATCTTCTTTCTTCATATTTGTTTCATTATTTTTATGAGATTTGAAATAAATCATACGAAAAAAAGTCTTTCTTTCAAATCTGAATCATATGATTTCTTCATAGTAGATTTTCATTTCTTCGGATTTAGAAGAAGTAATATAATTTTTTTATATAAAAAAGAAAGAAAAACAATGTTAGAGCTAAAATAAAAAAGGTTTTGCAAACAAGTGCCCGTTTGGATTGACTTATTTAAGTGGTTTTAAGCCAAAATAGTTTTTAAGCAGTTTTGAAGTGTTTGGGTAAAGTTAAAAAGTGTTTATAAACACTTATTTTAAAGTCAAAATAACAAAAATAAGTCAAAAGTCATAAGTTAGAAATCCTAACTTATGGCTTTTGGCTTATAAGTCATAAGCCAAAAGTCAATCCAAACATGCCCTAAATTATGAAGAAGACGTCTGGGAGGGGTGGGTGGTTTTCTTTTTTGAAAAAAGTGTAAATGAAAGAAGATAAAAATCTTTTAAGTTAATTATAGTGTCAAGTGTCAATAAAAGAAGAAGAAAAAAGTATTTTTTATAAATAAAAAAAACATTATTTTGAATTTTTCACGCACTTCAGGGAAGTGCAAAACATGATTTTTGTCATATCAGCATTTTGTGTTTAATAGGTACATGTTTTAAATAATTTAGGTGTTTAATAGGTACAAGTCCTAGTTAAGGCGTCTAAGTGAATTATGCGGACAACTTTAAGGGGTCGCAGATGACTTAAGCCTAAATTAGTTTTTGAATATGCAATTTGGTATCATGACTTGATGTGAAGAAATTGTTATATTATGTGAAGGGGCATAGTAGATAATTGTACTCTTTAATTTGACATCATTTTATATTTATGCCCTTTAACTTTGTGTGCGGTACTAGAAGACACTTAAATTTGTATAACGTTCAATAAGTGGACACATGAATCATATGTGTCATAATACATGTAGGACAAAAATTGTGGCGTAGGATGTGTATCTATCTGTTCAACTTTATACAAGTTTAAGTGTCTATTTTATGCACACCTAAAGTTGAATGACTTAAATGTGAACTAAGGTCAAGTTAAATGATATATTTATATATTATGCCTATATGAAAGTACAACATAATACATCCGCATGCTCTTTAACTTGACTTCAGTTGACATTTATGTCCTTCAACTTTGGGTGTGCACAAGTAGGCACTTAAACTTGTATAACATTAAACAAGCAGACGCACTCATTTTACGTAATGTTCTATATGATAATTTTGTATCCTACATATCACGTGTAGAACCAATCCTCAAAATAACCAAAATTATTCAATGCACTTAGTAAATCGCATCCAGCAAATGCGTTTTATGAGTACTTCTCGGGGTGAAATTTCAAAACTGAATGGGATTTATTTCTGACAAATATATATTGTCTCATCAGTTTGGATGATATTTTTTCTTTATCCCAACTTTTCTCCCCCTTGATTTATTAGTTTTTAATTTAACTCTTTTTAAAGAAAAAATATATATGAACGGTAAATAGTACTACTTTATATATTAGGAAACGTTATGTGTTCATGGATTATTGTTTGCTCATTTAATAGAAAAAAATTGATCATTTTTATAATTTGTGGGTTTTTTATATTTATGAGAAAAATACAATTTAAAAATTTAAATTGCATGTCCAAACAAGACTTAATATTTAAATCAATATGATTTCAAAATCATAATTTCATATCGCATTATTCAAACAGTATTCATACACATTATATGAAATCGTGAGATGAAATCAACGTTTAGACATGTGATTTGACGTTGATTTCATCTCATGATTTCATATTCAGAGATGAAATCTCATATTCTCCAAAAATTATGATTTAAGAATTTCATATCATGATTTGAGATTTTTAAGTACAAAAATTGACCCACAACTTTATATTTTGTTAAAACAACCCACATTTATATCTATTAGTCATCTATTTCATATGTAAATAAATTTTATAATCATATCATTACTTTTTAAAATTTAATATTCTTACCAACATAAAATTTATTATTACTTTAAATCAATTTCTACTTTATCATTTATATTCATCAAATTCATTAATTTTTGTCATCAAATTTACTATTACTACTTTAATGTTTGGTAAAAATATATATTTTTCATCTATATTAAGTGAACAAGACTGGCTACAATGGATTTGTAATAATTTATTATGCGATTTTATGATTTTTTGTTTATTTGGTATTGAATAAATAATTAGGATTATTTTAATAGTTTTACAACTTATGAGATTGTTATGTTTATGAGAAAATATGCAACACAAAAACTCCAAATCGATATCTAAACAAAACTTCAACTTCATCTCATGATTTCATATTGCATGATCAAATGTGTGCATAGTCAAAGTTGAAGGGTATGGATACAATCAAGACCAAATTAAAGAGCATATTTATATATTATGTCATTACAAAATAAAAATGTAAGATTGTTGTATCCTTTATTTCGTTATATGAGTACTATTGGTCTCAAAATTATTTTATTTCATGACGTATTAGGATGATGAGATTAGTTATCTTTAAAAAGTGAAAGTGAGATAGTTGATTCATAAGATATGTCAACTCGTGAGATATCTTTATTTATCTTATCCCATCAACTAAACAATCTAAAAGTTTAAGGTATACATATTACGATTATCAAATTATGCTTATATATATATATATAAATATTTTATTTGTAAAACTACAAATATGATATTATAAAGTAACAACAATTCTAACATAATAAATGTAATTTTACTAGTGGGATCATTTTATTCATATTATTACAAACTAGAAAGAAATTATAGGAATATTATTTTAGGCCGACCAAAGTTTTAAAAAATAAGTGGAAAATTTTAATAGCTCAGTTATTTAATCATATGAATTTTCATCGTTAATAATGATTCGTTTTATCCATGTTTTAATTTCTTCCTCCGTATTTCTTTTTCATAACCTCGTTTTTTCAATAAAAGAAAAAAAAGAAAAAGAAGAAGCTTAGAAAGACAAGCTACTCAGAATATATATCTTTTCCATTTCAACTTGTTTGACTTATTTGATTTTTCACGAAGATTAAGAAAATTAAAAGAAATAATTAAATCTCGTGGACTAAAATTAAAAATGTATCAAAATGTCATTTAATCTCGTAGTTATAAATATGTCATGTGAAATTTTGAAATCAAAGAGTTGCTAAAAGAAAAAAAAATTCATTGTTTTTAAAACAAACTAAAAATAAAGGCATTACATAAATATACTCCCTCCGTTTCAAATTAATTGAATTGTTGAAGTGTTTCACATCCTTAAAAAAAAGTAGATTAAGACATAAATTAGACATAACTTTCTATTTTTACCCTTATTAATTATTGTCAAATTTATTATTAAAATAACTAAAATTACTTAATAACTAATGAAGGATAAAATTGGAAGAACATTGTAAAAGTAATCTTGAAAATTGAACAATTAAGTTAATTTGAAAAATGAAAAATGTCTCAACAATTCAATTAATTTGAATTAGAGGAAGTACCATTTAACTTGACCTCATTTTACATTTATGTTCCTCAACTTTGGTCATGCACATATAGATACTTAAACTTGTATAAAGTTGAATAAATAGACACACAGTGACATCCTACATGCGAATTTGTCCTATGTGTATTATGTCACATATGACTCATATGTCTATTAGTTCAACTTTATACAATTATAATTATTTATTTGTGCGCACCCAAAGTTGAAGGACATAAATGTAAAATAAGACCAAATTAAAAGATACATTTCTGTATTATGGAAAAAATAAAAGTAGGTCAAACAAATTAAAATAGAAATATGTTACTTTTATTTTTAATTGTCAAAAACTATACCCAAAATATCCTTAGATTCCTAGTTCCACCCCCATCATGATCTAGTCAACTTTCTGGAGAAAGTTAATCCATGTTAAAATGGATAAGAATCTTAAAACAAATTTGGTAGAAAAATAAAAGGAAAAAGAATCCTAAACAAATACACACACTTTTATCATCCTCCTTTTTACGTTTACTCAGCTCCAGCCAGCGTTGACAACTCTGATTTTCCTTTAAATACACACAAAAAAAGATCAACAGATCTGCAGAATTTTCATTTTTCTTCTCTATTAAACTAATCTTCCAAAAGGGTAGGTTCTTTTTCCACTTTTCAATTCATTAAAATGTGTGTAATTTTACCCCTTTTCATATCAAGAATCTAAACCGTCTTTTTCTAGGTTCTTTTTTATTATTCTACTTTTGGGTATAATTTTGATGACCCCATCTGGTCAAAGTTTGGTTCTTTTTTGTATTAGAGACTGTATAATCTGTTTGTTATTATAGTTGAATTGATAACTTTTTTGATTTGGTTGCAAATTGGGATTTTTCTGCTAAATTTTGAGGAAAAATGGTACTTTTCTGCTAAAATTTGATGAAAAATGGTATTTTCAATTCATATAGCCTCCCTGAACTTGTTTGGAACTAAGACATAGTTGCTGAAAGGGTATTTTCTTTTTCCCCTTTTGCAATTTATCAATATTGACTTAAGACATTCACTGTTTGAATGTGTATAATTTACCCCCTTTTTCATTGCAAGAATCTAAACAGTCTTTTTCTAGGTGTTAAGCTTTTTGATTATTCTACTTTTGGGTACAATTCAAATAACCCCATCTGGTCAAAGTTTGGTTCTTTTTAGTACTAGACTCTTTATAATCTGTTTCTTGTTGTACTTGAACTGATAACTTGTTTGATTTGGTTGCAAATTGGGATTTTTCTGCTAAATTTTTATGAAAAATGGTACTTTTTATTCATATGGTCGACCCCGAACTTGTAAGGGACTTAGACGTAGTTGTTGTTGTTGTAGGTAGTTGCTGAAAGGGTATGTTTGTCTTTCCACCTTTGCAATTCATCAACAGTGACTTAAGATGTATAATTTTACCCCCTTTTACTTTCAAGAATCTAAACAGTCATTTTGTGGGTGTTTATCTTTTAGATTATTCTACTTTTGAGTACAATTCAGTTAGCCCCATCTTTTCAAAGTTTGGTTCTTTTTAGTATTAGACACTTCATAATCTGTTTTTTTGTTTTCTTTGTTTGTTTGTTACAGTTGAAGTGATAGCTTTTTTGATTTGGTTGTATATTGGGGTTTATTTGTTTTAAAATTTCTGTTAAATTTTGATGAAAAAAATGTGTATTTTGGATTTACTATGATGATGATATAATACGAGCTTAAATGAAGAAATTAAGATCCATATAGCCGACCCAAGTTAGGATTGAGACATAGCTGTTGTTGTTGTAGTTAGTTGCTGAACGCTTTGCAATTCATCAACTTTGACTTAAGATATTCATTGTTTGATATGTAGAATTTCACCCTCCTTCTTTCAAGAATCTAAACAGACTTTTTCCGGGTGTTTATCCTTTAGAGAGGAGCTTATGGAGGATACAGATTCGGGTAGAAGGCCACTAAGTAGTTGAGTGTTGTCTCGCTTATCCTTCCATACTAGTAGTCATTGTAGTATTCTTGTAGTTTCTTGTTTCTTCAACTTCTGTTACTATTTGTTGTTCCTTGTACTTCAATTATCGTATTATTTTGTTGTAGTTATTATTCCTCTTTCAGATTGTTTTGTCTTGCCTTGCTTAGTATTTTGCCTTGGTTTCTTCAATCCTGTTATTCTCTTGAGCCTCCCTGAGCCAAGGTCAATCAGAAACAACCTCTCTACCTTCCAAGGTAGGGGTAAGGTGTATGTACACACTTCCCTCTCTAGACCCCACTTGTGAGATTACACTGGGTATGTTGTTGTTGTTGTTGTAATCTTGGGTACAATTCAGGTAACCCCATCTTTTCAAAGTTGGTTCTTTTTAGTATTAGACACTTTAGAATCTGTTTCTTGTTACAGTTGAAGTGATAACTTGTTTGATTTGGTTGTATTTGGATTTTTTTGTTCAATTTTGATGAAAAAAAATGGGTATTTTGGATTTTGAAATTATGTAGGTAGTCGCTGAAAGCTTGGAGGTCCAATGGCGATTGGTATGAAACAGATGTCTATGATAATAGCCACCCTTGGTGTTTTATCCTTTATATTTGGAGTTATCGCTGAAAACAAGAAGGTTAGTTGAATAAATCAAATGTGGGGAATTCTTGTAAATCCTCTGCTTAATCTTTTGCCTGCTATGTCTTATTCTTTGATTGTCTAAATTTCGTACGATATGCTTGCCTAGTTCTTTGTGTGTGTGTGTTTTCCTTCTTCTTTTTCTAAATGGACTTCATGGCATTGGGTGCACATCTTAATCTATATATGAACATATTTTCGGAAAATTTCTCTAAACCTTTTATATTTATGTATATAGTTCGAGCCTCTGCCTAGTTGTGAGATAGTGTTGAATAATGCTACCAAAAATCACTATTATTAAGAACATGACTGATTTTTCTGGTAAACTATAAGTGAAGAAGCAATTGAAGTGATTGGATCGCTTGCATTGCAACCTGATCTGCCCTATTGTGCTGTCCTCATGTTGGATGAAACATTGGTCATGATTCTTCTGAGTTATCCTAAGTAGTTATTTAATAGAGGAGTGGTAGTTGGTTTTAAGTACAACATCAGACTTTTTCTTTGACGTAGATCAGCATAGCGAAACAAAACTTGTTGGTGATTAACATTTCTGTTTTTATGGTTGTCGGTTTCAAAGGCATGACCTTACTCTAACCATGTGATGCCAAATGTATTTAAAATCAGATATAACATTATAACATGGAAGACTTTATGCTGATTCTTCATGTCTTAAATTACTCTTATTCACATGATAGATGATTGCTACTTTAGTGGTTGCAGCTAGTGTACCTGTTGGGACTTGGGAGAGCTAGGTGTGAAACATATGGTTTTCTTAGACGTCTTGTGTCCAAGTATTCCTGTAGTGCTTTTTAATCTTATCAAGAACAACACAGAACAATTTCGTGATTTCTCCTTCCATATTTGTTGTTTCAGCATGATTACTCCACTACTGCACTTCCTTTGCATACTTGTTTTTGATATGTGTTATTTGACCTGAGGGTCTATTCGAAACAACCTCTCTACCTTCACAAGGTTAAGGCTGCATACACACCGCCCTCCGCATACCCCGCTTGTGGGATTACACTGGGTATGTTGTTGTATTATATTTGTGGTGTGTCAGTTCCCAAGTAATATAACACTTTTAATGTGTTTGTATATTGTGAAAATTGAAAATTTTACTGTGTCGAACAAGAAGATGTTATTCCTTCTTAATTTCCTGTCAGAAAAGTGGAGATCTTTGAGCATCATTGATGAGTAGATGCGCAAACTATCTGTCAAATATGTTGTTGGTTTTGTTACTTTCTCCTCTCTTATTTAGGACTTTTTTGGATATTTTTATTGCAGCCTGCAGCTGGGACTGCAATATCAGGAAAAGGCGTTGTTATTTGTAAATACAAGTCTGATCCTACTGTTGCCTTGGGCTATTTGTCTTTTGTTTTTCTTGCTGCATCTTCTGTGGCCGGTTTTCTGTCTTTGTTTTATCCATATCAAGGAAAGTCAGTTCCACAAGCTGCTTTGCTGAGAAACACTAGTTTTGTCGTGTTCTTAAATATTGCATTGTAAGTACTCCTCAACTTGTTTTTTTCTTTTTCATTGTGTTTTATGCGCAATCTCTTCATTTACCTTCTTCTTTATCCTAGTTCACTATCCCTATGTGTCTTACTATTGGCTGTTTTTGTCCTGAAGTTGGTAAACACATCATTGTAGGTCACATACTTCTTGTTACTTTGACCGTCATCCTCTACAAATAATAGCACTAATATCATTTAGGAATTGCAGCTCTTGGATGTATAGATATATCTGATGAAGTGATAAATTTTTGAAAAAATCGGATACCAACTACTTAAGACACGTAAAAGGGTGCAAATTATCCAAGGTATCTTCAACTTAATCAAAATGCAGAATGCACTCTTTAATATCCTTTAAGTAGGATGATTTCGAACTGCATACAAGAAAATTAACCCCCTGCTGAAAATAAGGTTCATTATGAGATACTTAACCCTTGATGACTCGATGGTGATAGTTCAAGTAGGAAATGGGAAGGAACAACTGATAATTTAGGTGTGTGTGTTATTAATACATAGATGATGATAGTTCATGTAGGAAAAAGGAGAACAACCGATAGTTGAAGTGTGAAACTCGTGAAAAACCGGTAGTTCAAGTGTCATTCAGGTAGGAAAAGGGAACAACTGATTTAGGGTTTAGGGTTTAGGGTTCAGGGATAGTTGAGGAGGACTTGAGGTGTGTTTTTTAATACATAAATGGTGATAGTGCAAGAAGAAGAAAGGAACAATTGTTAATTGGGGTGTGAAATTCGCGAAAAAACGGTAGGTTAGGTGCGTTTTTTACCATTAACTCTTGAACTTATATGTGGACTACTTTGGAAATTGATGCATCACCATCAACTATGTGATTGAGTTCACCGCCTCTCTTGAGGGGTAGGAATCTTATCATTATTTCATATACTACTGTACTATTTTCTGAGCCTTAGTGTTCTTTTTGGTGATTTTCTGCTGTCAATTCAAAGGGGCACAACTGGTTTAGCAGCAACATTGTTGTTGTGGCCTACAATCACCGAGCAACTTCATATCACACGCAACATTCATCACAACTTGCAGACCGATTGCCCAACTGCCAAGACCGGTCTTCTAGGTGGAGGTGCCTTCTTGTCTCTTGATTCCGCGCTCTTCTGGTTGGTGGCTTTGATGTTAGCTGATAACGCTCGTGAGGATTATTTCCAAGAAACGAATGTCAAGGGCGAGCCGAAAGCAAGTTATGCAGATGATGAAATTATCAAGAGCAGTGCTTAAAGTTATATACACTACTACTAGTATTCTACTCTCTCTGTGTGTTATTTCTGTTGTTGCAAAATGAACTTTCAGCACAAAACTGTAAAAAAAACATGATTTCCTGTCTTTCTAAGTATAATAAAAATAAAATATCATTGTAGATTCTTCATTATAGATTGTGTTCCTTAGCCTCTTACAGAAATGCAGGATAATCCTTCGATCCTTCCTCGAACCCCGCACATAGTAGGAGGAGTTTAGTGCACTGGGTTGTCGTCATATAGATTAGGTTTCTTCTCATTTCTTGAAAAAAGTTGCACGATGTTTATAAAGTCGTCTATTGTGGATGAATAAATAAATAATTTTATTCTTGCATCATTTTTTACAGTATATTAAAAGGTATATATAACCTGTTAAAGGTGTAGATTCGTATACATAATTTAATTGCCTCTATTTTCTAATTCTAAAAAAGATTTAAAGAGTTCCATATTCCCCATTATTATTACCTTTGATTTATTTTGTTTCTAGAAGGATATATACAATTTGTTAAAATATATAAACAAATAAATAAAAATAGTCAATAATATTTTAGAATTTTTTTTTTGATAGCTCAATGTTCGCGAACAATTTATTATGCATACTTTGATTAACTCACATATATTTATCACCTTTCACTAACAAAAGATATCAAATAATTCTATCTATTCAAACTAAGACATATCATAATTCATTTGATAAATAATAAATTCGTAAACTTTATTTTATGAAAGTTCAAATCTATTAATAGTAATGTAGCATAACTTTTTTGAAAAGAAAATTCGATTCGATGTAGATTGATCATTTAATATTTACTTTCTTTTTGGAAAGATTTTGTCCATTAGTTTGTAAACAATTAGTATAATAATAATAATAACAACAACTGCTTTATTCCTGAGTTAAATAAAGTTTATAAGGTGCTATACCTTAAGAAAAGTTCAAGTTACCAAGAAAGAAAATGCTATAAAAAATATTCACATACCGATTAAATATTTATTCGTATAGATGTTTATACTATATTATTGGATGCTTTGTCTGTGTTTGAAATATATAATTATCGCTTAATCATAATTAGTTAATGTATATTTTCTTAAATTACTTAACTATAATAAGTTATAATTTGATGCAAGATATTAATCTTAATTTTTAGTTATTCAGATATCAGTCATTAACTCTATTTGTTTTCAATGTCAGAATATTAATTATTAAGTGTGTTTATTTTTCTTAGTTTCAATGACTTGATGGGTCTGAATGATTAAAATCTATAACAAAGTCTTAATATCATTAAGATATCTATTTAAGAATTTCTACAAAGATGACAGTTCACCGCTACTCCATCTACCTTCACCCACCACCCACAACCATTATTTCAATCACAACTACGACTATCGTCAATCACCACCACCTGCCATCCACAACCATCATCCTCAACCCAACTACAACCACCACTCTCGTCAATTGCCAGTCAATCTTCATCACAAATAGTCATCATTTACTATCATCACCACCAATCATTATTACATCCATTAATTACTGTCGATAATTACCACCATTAGTTAACATTATATATCACTAACCGCCATTATCTTCACCATCAATATCATTTCACTACTTGTTATCAGCCTTACCAACAACCACAGTTAACCACTACTGTCAATCACTATACCATAAGATACTACCTACAATCATCATCAGCAAACACCATTCCAAATAAATGTCTTAATCTTAATAAAAAAAAAAGGAGATCTAAATATCTGATTTGGATCATTTTTTACTCGCATGTTCAGATTCAGTATTTGAAATCAAATAACAATAAAAACTTACTCGTAAAAAGTATTCACACCAAATTATATTAATTTATTATTTTTAAATAAAATAATGTGATGAGAATGAATATTACTTCATTACAGCCAAGCAATAAATATATTTACAAATATTGACATTTGATGTAACTATTTTGTGAATTTCAGTATTTATGATCATAAATTCACTTAAAAAGGGACATATAATTATTAATTACATATTAAATACATCATTAAAATTATTTATTATAATAAATAAATTTAATTTAATATAATTCACTTTGATTAAATATAAAATAAAACTCAAATAGAAATAAACTCACAAAAATGTTAAATTCAAATGGTGGAAGATTATATGTTTAATATTTGTGCATCCTAATTTATATAATTCGCTTCGATTAAATATAAAATAAAATAAACTTAAAAGTTAAAAAATTATAATCTAAAAAATATTTATGTAATTAAAAATAAAATATATTTTATAACTTGGAATGAAAGTAATACAAATATCAATAATAGTTATTGTAGAGTACTAAATATTCTTTTATTCTTAATTACAGGTCCACTATTATAAAGTCGCATTTTACCCGCTAACTAGATAAATCATGTGGGAAGCAATCAAATTTAATCGATACTCAATACGAATATCAAACATCAGGTAGAAAGCATTAAAACAAAATAGGAAACAACAATACTATATTTTGTGTGATTCCATAAATAAAGTTCGAAGAAGATGAGATATACATAAATTTTATTTCTACCTTGAATAAGGATAAATAGACGGTTTTCCGATAAAAACCACCAATGATCATTTCTACCTTGAATAAATAAAGTTTGAAGAAGATGAGATATACATAAATTTTATTTCTACCTTGAATAAGGATAGATAGACGGTTTCCAATAAAAACCACCAATGATCATTTCCTGACTATAATTTGTCGGGTATGCATCTTTGACCCGTTTAGACATCAAGGCCCAACTTAGAGCTAAAAGACTAACACCTTGTTTGGATGGTTGTTATTCGTCACATTGTATTGTATCGTTAGTTTAAATATATTGTTTGTTTTGATTGTTACAAAATTCTATTGTATCATGTCATTTAAATTCATCGTTAGGTAAATGAAAAGACTCATTCTATGGAACGACCGATTTGGTGTGATCGTGTTGTTACCTTGATATTTTCTTCTTATTTTATTTTTATTTATTAATTAATAATTATATTTCTCTTTTTCCCTACCTTTTCATAATATTTGTTTTTCTTATAGATTTATCATTCAAATTATAGATGTATGATATTATATAACGATGAAAAATCTATCCATATTCATACGATAAGATATATCACAATATGATACATTATGAAACAAGGTAACAACCATCCAAACAAAGTGTTGAAAAGTATTTTAAAAAGAGAAAAGAATATTTCGCTGGTTTTTTCTATAAGTTTTTTTTTGTTTTTAAGTAGATCGGAAGGCCATCATTTTCAATCCAATTCCCGCCGATCAAAGTTACGGTGAGAACAATCGTTCGAAGATGGCCGGGAAATCCAAACCTAAGCCGTTGAATGTTTACCTTTATATTCCGAATATCATCGGTGAGTTCTCTTTCGAAATTTCTGTTTGAATACTCTCACTGATATTCGCCTTTCAGCTCGGAAGTATTGTATCCGTTGATTTATCTTTTTTGTGAAATTTTGATGCATTGGAGAACCGAAAGGATGAACTGAAAAGCAGAACGGAGTTCTGTGTTTTGTTTGTCGGAAGCAATGTTGCGTCATTTTGGCTCTTATCCCTGAAATTTCTGCTGTTTTGAATTTTTCTTTTCTATTAGGAAACAATATTTATTTTATTTTGATATTGTTAGCATTAATTTTTTGATGTTTCATATTGTTGATGTAGATTTTGTTAGAATCTCTTTTTCTGGCAATCATGATTCATATCTATTTTTTTTTTCAAAAGAGATCGGTGATATTCGGAATAATATAACTAGGGAAAGTTGTTTGGTGATGCTAGATGCTAGTGTTTCTCGTGGAACACTAACGCAAACCTATTTGGATTTGTTGGAGCTATTTTTTTTAACAAATATACAAGTTCTGGATGTTATGTTAGGCTATCCATATTATTTGTTATGTCCTATTTGCTGCTGTATTTGCCTTTTCAACTGCTTTATTATTTGTTACTTGAGCGGAGGGTCTTTTGGAAACAACCCCACTATCTTCATGAGGTAGCTTCACGAGGTAGGGGTATGGTGTGCGTACACTCTAACCTCCTAGATATCACTTGTGGGAATACATTAGATATGTTGTTGTTGTTGTTATTGTGTATACAAGTGATGGAAATGAAATTGGCTTTGTTAAATTAAGCACTTCCCTAGTTCCCTTCCATTTTGTGTTTGATTTTCATTTTCTTACACCTCAATTCCTCTAATTTTTTGTTCTCATTTGTTCACATGAGATACTTTGCTGCACTGCAAGTTCTTGTGCTCTACTGAAATTAGGAAATTAGTTCATTATTCTTTTTCATGATGCTCTTGTGGTGGTCCTATTAACGAAGTAAAGCCAAGAAACAAGCTCTACCTTATGTAGTTATGGATTTCTTTTTTCTGAGAATGAAAAAGAAAAATAGAAAATCCTTGTCGATTTTTATCAATATCAAACTTCACTTTCCATGTGGATGCCAAGCATTTAACTTCCACTATTTCTTTTTTGGGGATTTTTCATTTTTCCTGTAACCTTCTTGCACTATGTTGTTTCCGCCTTTTCCTGTGACATCCTTGCTTAATTCGGCCATAATGAATTGCTTGTGTTACTTTCAACTGATTCAGTCTGTATATATTTCTCTTCCTCTTATATTTATAGATGTTTTGATAGTTTATTTGTGTATCTTTGTTATATATATTCAATATTGTATATTTTGGTTTGAGATTACTGTCAACTTTAGTAGAACTGAGAAAAAGAACTCTGTACAAACAAATGCCTCTTAACTAACTCTTCGGATGTTAAAGTGGGTATATAGATATGTTGTGCTGAATTGGTTGTTACATATGTTGTTGGATGCAGGGTACCTGAGAATTTTGATGAATTGTGTTGCATTTGCTGTGTGCTTTGTGGACAAAAAGCTATTTTCGCTTCTGTATTTTGTCAGGTGAATTCCCTTGATTTATGATTTTTTTTTTTTTTGGGGGGGGGGGGGGGGGGGAGTGTATGGAAGTGGGATTGTTGGTTAATGGATTTTTTTTTGCCAGTTTCGTCTGTGATGCTTTGGATGGTTGGTTTGCTCGTAAATTCAATCAAGGTAAGAGGTTTCCTCTTTTATGTTTGATCGATACTATTTCTTCTAGGTGCGCGATAGTCTCAGTCCTTGATTTGCTGGGTGTATAGTTTATTATTGTAAATGACAGGAGTCGAAATGCCAAAGTGACTAGGTCCAATTTTTGTCTCAATTCCGACAAGGTGTTGCAAATTTTTTGAAGTAAAACTTATATATTCAGAAACTCCATAAAGAGTACTACGAAATACATTTTTTAATATATATGTTTAAAAGATTTAGGGAATAGTAGGAGTGTAGCCAAAAGAAATGTAGATCTTGATTGAGCAAGAGTAGGAGTGTAGCCAAATCCCGACTGAGTTTGTTGCTACAATACTAGGGGATTGGCTTAGTGGAGGTGGTGCAGTCTAGCATACTAAGCTACCGGAAAACTGAACCGCTACACATGACATGAGTCATAACTCTGAGCTGAAGATGACCAAGATCTTATGAGTACAATTGTAGCTAAAAGCCTAAAACTGGCGCCGTTTGACTTCTATTCTCAGCATGCATTTATCGACCAAGCATGACCAGGGAAAAACCATGGTGTCTGATGAGTCCTGGAGATTGGATGAAATGAGACTGTGAGGACCCAGCATTGATCTTGTACACCAGTGGTTCAAAGGGGGAAACCAAAAGGAAAAGAAATATTAGCTCAGGTCCAAAATGTTAGCAGATGCTGGGAATACATTCAGCTGACCAATTTCTGTAGTGTCTACCACTTCATCATGTCCATGATCACTCTTGTTTCCCCTGAGTTCTTGTGAGAAGAATTTGACAGATATGGTATGAGTCTCATCCTGCAGATGGGACCAAAACTGATAATTCATAAAAGGTGTACTGGAGTTCCTACTATGCATACCTGACTAATATAAGGTTATGAAGCAAGTGCAACTTTTACTTCAGCAGCAAAGCTCTTGCATCTTGTGAAGTGTGGCTCCTCTACGCCTCCTTTGCCCGTCACACAGCAATGGGAACAATTACTGGGCATCAGTTAGTAGAATGTTGTGGCATGACTGAGTTCGATGGCATATGTAATCCCATTGGACGGAAACACAGAGGAGGTACTGTTGGCAAGCCCTTTCCAGCTGTACAGGCTAATATATTCTTGAATAATGAGAGTGGTAGCAACAAAACCGGAGTTAGGGAGCTTTGCATTAAGGGTCCTTCATCGTTCAGAAATATTGGAAGCTACCTGAGCCAACTTGGCAATCATTTGCCAATGATAGGTTTTTCAAAACTGGAGGTGCTGTTAGAGTGGATGAAATGGATATCCCATGATTTTGGGATGAACTGATACTGATACTATCAAGTCAGTAGATACAAGTTTAGTATTGGAATTTGAAGTAGCTCCGTTAAAGCATCCATGTTGGTGTTAAGATTACCTGTCAAAGACTATGGTGAGGTGGTGTGAGCAATTGTTGTCCCTGACACTGAGCTCAAAGAAAGAAAATTGAGGAATTAAAATTTGCACTAAGGCAAGAACTTTCGGAATGTGCAAAGGAGAGATTGCCACGTATAAGATACCTAATCAGTTGTCTGTGTGGAACTCGCTTTCTTGGAGCTTTACGGGGAAGGTAAAAGCACAGGAGCTGAAGAGAAATCTGTCTCTGAGGACCCACAATAAGTTTAAATAGTCAGCAATCGCCTAGAGGTCAAGTATTGAATAGAGATTATGTGCTTACGGAGGAAGTGAATAAAGGCAACCCTCCTTTATCTGAGATTAGAACATGCTACACTTTTTCAAATTCAGTTAGGCAGAGATGAAAATATTCCTTAGATTAAGTAGTCAATAATGGATCTATTTGAGGCTATATATTGCTGGTTTAGAACATACATGAATGTTGGACATTTTCTGTTTACATATTCTAAGTGTAACCAAACACAGTATAGAAGTATGGTATTATTGGACAGTTGCAATATGCATTAAGGAACTTCTATGTACTCCACTCCTGCCCTTCTCCTTCACAATTTACACACGCACCCCTCTTTAAAAGGTAAGTTTTTGTATACCTCTTCTCGGCCTTTTGGCTAAGATAAGTGTAATATGCGGACCATCGGTTCACACAATATTAGCTCAATTTTTAAGGGGGGGGGGGGGGGGGGGTAGTCTGTTAAGGTAGCTTGCTAACTGAGCTTTTGCTCGTTGCCCATGTGCTGCTCTACAGTACGGACCTGGTGCACTCTACTAAATCTTTCCACATGTGGTCCAAAATTTTATACAGGTTAATAACTGCATTAAAAAAAAGGTTATAGATGATAATAGTGTCTATCATCTGTGAGTTTGAATTCTTGTTGTCTGGCTTTGATAAAACTATATCTGAATTTCATATGTAAGACCCGCCATATATTTGATTGTCAATTTTCCTCTCTGGATTCAGCTTCAACATTTGGGGCTGTTTTGGACATGGTGACAGATAGGTAGTGCCACATTTCTAACCCTCAACTTTAATCCCTACCCCAAAACCCTTGTGTTTGAACATTTAATGCACAGCCCTTGCTTTCATATTAGGACTCAAATCTGCTTTTTTGTTTATGTGGGCCGTATGATTTTTCAGGGTTAGCACTGCCTGCCTGCTGGTTATTCTTTCACAGGTTTATAGGTATCTTCATCAACTCCTGTCTGCATAAGATTTTGCACTGTTAAAGTTCTGGCATATTTAAGATTTATTTCCTCCTGTGTCTTCTTGCTTTCAGGCCTGGTTTAGTTTTCTTGTCGTTGCTTGCGCTTGATATTTCCAGCCATTGGTTGCAAATGTATAGGTAATTAACTCTCCAATAGCACATATCATTTAGGCAAAGATTGATTCTGCTTTGTGTTTTCTGTTGTAATGTGTTTAGACTTCTGATTATCATGTGTTCTCAACTGAGTTTTCTGGAAAAATTATTGCAGTACCTTTTTAGTAGGAAAGACAAGTCACAAAGATGTCAAAGACAGCAGCAGCTGGCTATTCAGGCTTTATTATGGAAATAGGATGTTCATGGGCTACTGCTGCGTGTCATGTGAGGTAACTATCTCTATCAATTCTGGAAAGCTGAGAAATTCTTCGTGTATACACAATTGTTATCTGATTTTAGTTCTTATTTACCAGGTTCTTTATATTACATTGTTCCTTCTTACAAGGAAAGAGACTGATAGTCTTATCGATGTAAGATCTCAGTTATTATGATTTTCATATCTTTCTATTTTTGTTGCCTGTGTTTAAGAAGCTCATTGACAGTTTCTACATTTCATATTAAGGTTCTTGTAAATACTGCCACGGCAAGTTGGATTTATCTCGTCTTACTTGCTCTTCTTCTGTTCGGATGGGCAATCAAGCAATTTGTTAATGTTATACAGGTAGATAACTACTACCTATGCTAGTTTTTGATAGCCCATGTAATATCTTATTTGCCTTGTGTAAAATGTTCTCAATATGACAATTATCTTCTGGTTCAGATGAAAACCGCGGCTGATGCTTGTGTGCTGTATGACATGAACAAAAAACAGTAGCACTGACGTAGACGTAAAACAAGAGGCTTCTGCAATAATGTTTTTCTGGATAGTGCATTTTGGTTTTCTGTATACCGTGTTATAGTCACACATTCAATTGTCCTTCCAGGTAGAAGCTTCTTTGGTGATGACTTGAATTGGGAAATTCTTTGATGCATCCATTCTGTAGGAAATGATCTGAGATTTTCAACTAACAACTGCTTATGGCCTAAGACCCTAATCATGTGTGTCATTTCCCCCTCGTCGTTGTGCCTAAAGTTGGATATGATTCTAACGGTGCCTTTGTTGTCTATTTTTTTGTTTTTGGTTTGTTTAGTTGGAATGTACATACTCTTTGGCTTATCATAGTGATTTCAATTTACGAATAGCCATTGGATTTTGTCCCCTCTTGGTTCAGTAACTTTGGTTTCGATTGATCAATATTTAATATTTTGTAGTTTTGATCTTGCTGTCTCCAATTTAAGTTACTACTCTTTAATAACTTTAGAATCAACCTTGTATTGAAACGGGGGAAGACTCTCATTTATACTCCTCGCATTTGCGACTGCAACCAAAGATCATATTTCCGCAACAGGATTTTTAATGCTAATTGTGTCAAGTCAAAATAGGACAAACAAATTGACAGACAAAGAAACGTAGAGTTAGAAACTTGCAAATAGGAAGAGAATGAAGATAAACAAATGAACTTGAAGATATCATTAATAATGCTACAAGATGAATCTTCAATCAAAAAATATAATCTCAAAAAAAAATAATACATTACCTAATATTGAAGATAAACAAATGAAACGCCGGATTGCGATTAGTATAAGCTAAAACCAAAAAATTGGCTGATGATTATAGCAAGGCCTAAACCAATTGCAATAAGGGAAGAAGCCCAAGTGAGTTTTTCAGTAATTCTAGGAACTCTATCTTTCAGTGCCTGACTACATGAGCCTATAAACACAGTATAGCTACCCATTGCCATAACAGTTCCAACCAAGAACATACCCAAGAAGGCCGCACCAGCCAACCGAGAAGGCAAAGCAAGAGCTGGCAGGATTATCAGCAGCGCGTCAGGTTGTAGCCCGTGGACAATGCCAGTTGCAAAGGTTGCGAACCCCACTTTCTTCTTCTTCCCGATAACTGGAGTGTTAATGCCTTCGTATACACTAACATCACTATCACCATTTTCCAGGGCAACAAACTGGGAATTAACTTCAGATGCTTCTTTAATTCCCATTGCTCCGATAACAAGAAGGGTGAAGCCTACTACTCTTGTTCCCCATGTACGAATAACTTCAATGTGGAGTCTGTCCTTTAAGAGCAGAAACAACAGGCCAAAAATCAACTGCCCAGCATCATGACCACAACCCCAGAGGGCTCCTACTGCCGCACTCTCCATCCTTGTGCGGCCTATCGACAAAGGAGCCAAAGCAGCAAGATGGTCAGGACCTGATAGGGTGTGTAGGCAACCAGCAAAGAAACCAGTCCATGCACTGCTTAGTAATTCATTACGAACAAATCGACTCCCTAGTGCTGCTGCAGCCGGCCCACCAGCCTTAGCTGCCGCTTGGAAACTAGCAAAAGCTGGTGAAACAATGACCGGATGGATGAGCATAACAAACACGGCCGACAGAAGAACTATGGTACTTGCAGAAAGGACCTGAATGAAATCATATAAAACAAAAAACATGCTGAGGAAAAAAAACAAGTTTGTTATAGAAGTAAACTGCAATGCATGGACCATCAGTGACCTTTTATAGTCAGTTACCTCGCGCTATGAAGTTCAATGTATGCTATGCAGCTGAATAAGTTATAAAGTTGAATGGTATCATTGGAAAACTATATACTGAACATTTTTATTTTACACGGCAGCAAGGTGAACCTTTCTGTAAACCCGGGTTCAACTTCCTAGTGTTTTATCCAACAGGTTTGACAAGTGTGTGTGCTGATTATGCTAAAAAGCTCTCTACTACTGGCATCATTTTGACGTCGGTATTGCACTTTCATAGTGTTATTTAACTGTTTCTAACTTTCAACAACAACATACCCAGTGTAATCCCATAAGTGGGGTCTGGGGATGGTGATGTGTTTGCAGCCTTACCCCTACCTTGTGAAGGTAGAGAGGTTGTTTTTGATAGACCCTCGGCTCAAGTGAAGCATATAGAAAATAATGGATAAAAAGGTATGTTTCTATTTGAACAGACGGCTGTTGAATATAAACTAGTTCCATATAGAGATGAATAACCACTTGTAAATCAATAAACATTCTCACAAAAGGCTCATAAGATAAGAAGACCATACAATAAAGATGACCATAGAATAAAGATAAGAAGACCATGCAATAAATTGTTGCAAAGACCCCACCTTCGTCCTTTTGTATAAGTAACAAGTTCAATCCTTAAGGCTGCGATATTTAATATTATTTTTCTTCTTTTTTGATTGCCAAAAGATTATTTCTCTTCTCTGCTTTCATTGTTGAAAAATAGTCACAAAATTGAAAAACTGTGCTGCATATCCATTTCCACATATCATTATCGATCATAAAACAAAATATATCCATTTCCACAGACCATTCAAATGACATTCTTCTATCAAAAAAACCTTCACACTTTTGTGACAACTTGAGGGTCTAGTAATTTAACCCATGGAGAGAACGTATTTCCAAGTATTTATTTTAAAACTTATTGAGGTAAAGTTGCAAAATATGCTCCGTGGTGACTTTTGATTTTGTATTTCTACTTTTTTTTTCCAAATAATTTGATTGGTTTTATTTGAACAATGGTAAAGATTGAGTTATATTGCCTTTCTCAATGCTACGACTTTGGAAAGACTATCTGTGTTTTACTGTTTCAAATAGTAGATAAAAATTCCATAGATCAAATGTAAATGGCAAATAAAGTTAGAGGAATAGTTGGGTAAAATTTTCATTGTTTTTATTTAAGAACATAACTCCAATATTGAATTTAATGCTAATGGAGTATGCCTGAGCATACAGCAGATCTACTTAGTTGCTGGATCAGCAGAGGGGGGAGAAAATCTAAGAAAAAGTGGTGGAGTATAATACCATCATGCATTTGGTGGTGTATTTGGAAAGAAATAAATAGCAGATGCTATGATAACAAAGCTAATTCAATAGAGAAAGTCAAATGGAACTGCTTGACTACTTTTTATTTTTGGTGTAACGAGGAAGGGATAGAAGAAGCTGCACAAATTTTGGATTTTATAGGCACTTTGTAATCTATTAGCCTTTTTGTTTTTCCTCTTGTTGGAAACCAATTTTTGGAGGTCTCCAGCATATCCTTAATGCTGATGAGTACAACATTATCTTTATAAAAAAAAAAAAGATGTACCTTTACAGTACTTTCCAAATTGAATCTGGCAAAAGGATATAAGCCAAATCATTCCTAATATCAAATGCTTCATGAGAATTGAGATCAATACATGGAAAGTTAAAAAAAAAGAACCAAAAAATTATGTCCAAAGTGCTATGTATTTTTCTTCTATTTATAGTACAGACACTATCTCAGAAAATATCTCCATGGGTAACTCAAAAATAGAGCATTTAAAGATAATTCAATCCTTGTAAGGAGATTCATTTGGTTTGTATTGCAAAATGGTGGCAAATTCGTCAGCCGTCAATTTAATTGAGTCTAAGTGGGTCAACTAGTTTTTGAATGAAAGGTGAAACAGTTCTGCACCATAGTTGCAATTACAGAAATGCAGGAAACAAGCAAAAGACTGTAGAAAGCACACTGACCTACTTGCCATTCAGTACTGATGCGAGAACTTCGTCAAGTTTAAGAATGTAATAACTCATTTGACAACATACATCATTGTGATGAGTGTATTTTATGCTTTTCAAGTACCCAAATGATCTGTCCCCATAAACCAGGCAACAAAAACACCTCATAAGCAAATAGTAGAACCTAAAATTGTTAATCAGCGTTTTGAATTCTACCCAAGTCAACAGTATGACATAGCAATCATGTTCTAAGAAACTAGCACTTTGTATTATTGATCTCAAGTATTCCACTCCAATTAACAAGCACAGATTTGGCACAACAACCGCGGATAAAACCAAATTAGCGAAAAAGGATGCTTAAAAACTATAATGTAACTTTCCCTGTCCAACACAAGAAGAAGCAAACTAGGGGCCCCAGAAACCAGAATGCATTAACAAAATCAGGTAATGAATGTGTTCCATTGACACTTAGAGTAAGAGCTAATCCCTTCTAAAGTTGGTATATCCAAATTGTGTAACTGTGTAAGGTCCAGCAAAAGAAATGACCAGCTAAGATGTTTTTTTCTGGTTACAGAAACCACTGATCTAAATGCAAAATCTACCAGAAAGCTCTTCAAGTACTTCATGAGATTTTAATGAAGATGAAATATCCAACGAACTTGAAGGCATGAATACTACATTTACAAATGTTTCATCACTATAAAGATTTTATTATCCCTTCTGCTATCATTCCTAACACCAGCTTAACTGCAAACTTAGTTTTCTTCCTGAGATTCAAAGATGCTGAGACATATCCTCCACAAAAAAGAAATGGAAGTCCACGAATGGCTAGAAAACGGATTGCAGCTTAACTGTGATCATAGTTATCTTCCTGCAATATTTTATCTCACTGAGAGATGCTTGGGTATATACTTGCAAAAGAGAGGCAATACCATGAATGGGTTTGCACATAAGTTGCAGCTTAACTGCAATCTTACTTTTCCTCTTTTGATTTTATTTCAAGATGTTAAATCTCAAATTCATTAAGTGCTATGCTCAAATCAAGATGAGAGTTACTTGTCTCCCTGAGACTTACGTCAAGTTTGAATCCCAAATTCTTAATCACCACTATCAGACCATGAGACGACCACATGACCACTTCTTGATACAGTGCTTTTGACAAAATTGTGGGTCATATAACACCCAAATCAAAGGGTTGGTTCACTTTCTAATTTAAAATCTTTAATGAACCAAAGGAGTCCGGTCACTTTCTACTTTAAACTTAAGAAAACCACTGCTAATCAGAAAGCACACCAACACCTTATACTTCTAGTTTTCACAAATAGAAGTAGTCTTCTAGAACTAGAGTTGAATATGGCAATAGATGCAATTATTCGAACTAAAGCATCAATATATATTTGACTAGCCTTCTACAAAGTTCAAATGTAATTGTTTCAGCTTATTTAGGCCATTTATCGTATTCTTTTGTTCCATATGGCCCTTTCTCTTTTTTTTTTCTTTTTTTTTAAATAAAAATTAAAAAAAAGACCGGCCTAACCGAACAACGGACACCCTTAATGTGAGACTTCTAGTCATTTGGTCTACGTGCGCTACTCTTCACTTGAAAATGATCTAGAAAACATCATTAAAAGCAAAAAATGACATTAAATTAA